CTTTTTTTTTTTTTTGGGATTTTGTTCGGTACGTGTAATTTTCCAGTTTGGTGTCAATGGCATCAGTCGGTGAAAAAAGACAATGGAGACATGATACAGATATACCTTTAGTCTATGAAAAATAGAAAAAAAGAAATTGGAAATTGTAAGAATAAGAATATGAGACAGTTGGAGCCGGGAAAGGAGAGTTGATTGCGGTGACCTGAAAAAGACGGGCAAAGTTGTGTCTCTTTTCAAGCAGTTGGCTGACGGCGAGGCCAGGGACGAAGTCGGCCAGCCTCTCGTAATTGGTCAAGACGTCCCAGACGGTTTGAAGACTTGCCTGCACGACAATCTGGGATCGGATCCGGCGACGGTTATTGCCGATCTTTTCTATCTCAATTTCAATGTCGCTGACATCCCTGTTTATAGAGGCAGAGGAAGCATCGTCTTCGTCTTCGTCGAATAAAGCAGTGGCGACGAGGAGGTCAGGAGAATTCGGGGACGATCTGAATTTAAAGAGAGAAGGTTTTGAAGATGCAGGCAAGGCTTGGGACGATGATATTAACGGGACTGCTGTTGTTAGGGTAAGGTTAGGGTTTCTGATTCTAGAAGAAGATGATGATGATAACGGATAGGAGCAATGGGGTTGGAAGTAGAGCAAGAGGGGAGCGGTACGCCACTCCGAAGAGATGAGGAAGCCGTGCATATGTATTTGCAATTGCATCAAACAAAATCCAAATTATGGAATTGTGGTGTGTAGTGTAGTGTAGTGTAGTGCTGTGTTGTGTCGTGTTGTGTTGCGTGTACTATTACACTGTCCGTCTCTCCCGGAGTCCCATTAAGAGTCTAGTCCCACCCCATCTTGTGTTGTGTGGTTCTCGTGCTCCACAGCCAACACTCTCCATTCTTTCTTTCAAAAGATCAGGACATACCAAACCCCGTCAGTGGGTTTTGCAACAGGGTACACGATCGTAAAACAGTGAGATAAGAAGAGTACCAAAATGAGATGAGATATAGAAAGTGACAAGAAATTAAGATTGGTAAACTATACAGGCAGCAGGCGGTTAGGTACAGTACTGTTAGATAGGATATTAAATTTGCATTTTTATGATTAAATCCAAAACGATGAAAGATGATGGCTTTTAAAAGAGTTGTGATTTATATATAATTAAGTTTTCAAAATGTACTTCATTGGGCATTTTTCGGTGGTTGTTGGATTCAAATCTTTTGCCTCGTTGGCGGAGGCTGAGGAGGATTGGACCTCGTGTCACCCTTCTTTCCTCTTCAGGACCAGCTTCATGTCCACAGCGTTTAGATTGTACCAAGTAAAATCCCCCTTGAACTTAAGGGACTAGCGACTGGTGGCGTATATCTGTCACTTCCCGAGATGTGTCTCTTAGCCTCGAACCAGATGATTGGTAAACGACGAGATCCTCTTCTAGGTTCTCAAGAGTCATAAGGAGACAGTTGGACATTTTGCCAACTTCGACAGCATTGAGCTCGTCTACAAAATGGAGAATGTCAAGGTACAGCCAAGCTCCCCTTGGCTCATAAAAAGTTAAATAGAATGTTATTAGAGTTGGATTTCCTCACCCTAAATTTGTTTGAGGTTTTGCTTTCGTATTTATAGACAATTTCTTTTACAACAGAGATAATGATAATTTTAATCTATATACATGATTTGAATATAAAATTATGCTAACTACGTATCTCTTGTGATCTAACAAATATCATGATTGAGCTTGATCCTCGTTGGTTTGTTGCTTATCCTTACCTTTATCACTTGATGTTTCAATATGTCCTCAAGGTCAACGGGAGGTCAAAGACGTTAAGCTTGGATCGCAATGTTGCATAATGAGTAGGAACAAGTGGTTTGGTAAGAACATCAGCAATATGATCTTTACTAGAAAGAAATCGAACGGTGAGATCACGATGAGCAACCTTCTTGCGAACGAAATAATAATTATTGGCAACATGTTTTGTCCGAGCATGAAGAATCGAATTGTCAGAGAGATAAGTGGCGCCTATGTTGTCACACCATAACACAAGCAGACCAGACAAAAAAATTCCTAGATCTCATAAAAGTGATTGAATCCAGATTAACTCAGCAGTAGAGTAACCAAGGGCTCGATATTCTGCCTCCGTGCTAGAGCGTGCGACAGTTGGTTGTTTGCGAGGACTCCACATAACCCAAAATACAAGCAATACCCACTAGTAGAGCGACGATAATTAGGGCAACCATCCCAATCAACATATGCACTTAAGATAGTAGAAGATGAAGGACGAAAGAGAAGGCCTTGACTAATTGTATGCTAGAGATAGCATAATATGTGTTTCACAGCTGACCAATGTGACATTGTGGGACAACACATAAATTGGCAAACACGATTGACTGCAAACGAGATATCGGGACGGGTGAAGGAAAGGTATTGCAAGGCCCCAACAGTATTGTGATACAAGTGATGATCAGAAAAGGGTGCACCGACTAGCTTGGAAAGAGGAAGCGTAGCAGCCATGGGAGAAGTCACGGGTTTGGCAAGATGCGTATTAGTCCACTTGAGAAGATTGTGAATATAACGTTGCTAACATAGATGCAAGGGCACGAGATAAATGTCAAGCTTCGACAACAAGGAAATAATGTAAAGAGCCTAAGTCTATCACGCCAAAATCGCATCGTAGACTATTAATAAGAGAGGAAATAGTTGCGTATTGAGAGGCAATAACAAGAATATTGTCAACATAAACCAGGACAAGAAAGGGCACACTTGGGCTGTCATAAATGAATAATGATGAATTTGTCTTGGAAGACCAAAAACCAACCTCAAGAAGCCTGTGGATAAGCTGGGAAAACCATGCGCGTGAAACTTGTTTTAAGTCATATAAAGCTTTATTCAATTTTCAAACAAAGGAAGGAAATTGAGGAAGGTGAAAACATGGAGGTTACTACATAAAGATAGTTTCCACGAGGTAGCCACGTAAAAATGCATTTTGAATATCGAGTTGGCGAATGTGCCAACCCCGAGAAACGACAAGAGAAAAAAGTAAGCGAATGGTATGAGGTGCGATAACCGAACTGTAGGTCTTATCGTAATCAACACCCAATTGTTGAGAAAATCATTTGGAGACTAATCGCACTTTATACCGTTCAATAGAACCGTCAGAATGCTGCTTTAATTTGAAAACCCATTTACAGCCAATTATATTCATAGATGATGTCGCGGGAACATGACTCCAAGTATTGTTTTGTAGGAGAGCATCAAATTTCGAATTCATGGATGATTGCCAAGATGGATGTGTTACGGCCAAAGAGTAACAAGTTGGTTCAATTTTCAAGTGAAGAAGTAGCCAACATAGCCCAAGGAGGAGGATAAAGAACAATCCCATTACTGTATTATTTTTCTTTGACAATATTATTGCACAATCGAGTGACCATGGGNCTGAGGAGGATTGGACCTCGTGTCACCCTTCTTTCCTCTTCAGGACCAGCTTCATGTCCACAGCGTTTAGATTGTACCANATTGGACCTCGTCTCACCCTTCTTTCCTCTTCAGGACCAGCTTCATGTCCACAGCGTTTAGATTGTACCANGTATTATTTTTCTTTGACAATATTATTGCACAATCGAGTGACCATGGGATGAATGGAATGCGAAGGGGATATCGTGGCAGTTGCTGAAGATGAGGAGACCACTGATGGATGATCAGTAGAAGAACATGAGGAGTTAGCGGGACTCTAGTGTGGCTCTTCAGCCCCCGGGTTGACACGTGGAACAATGAAGCCGNCAAGTAAAATCCCCCTTGAACTTAAGGGACTAGCGACTGGTGGCGTATATCTGTCACTTCCCGAGATGTGTCTCTTAGCCTCGAACCAGATGATTGGTAAACGACGAGATCCTCTTCTAGGTTCTCAAGAGTCATAAGGAGACAGTTGGACATTATGCCAACTTCGACAGCATTGAGCTCGTCTACAAAATGGAGAATGTCAAGGTACAGCCAAGCTCCCCTTGGCTCATAAAAAGTTAAATAGAATGTTATTAGAGTTGGATTTCCTCACCCTAAATTTGTTTGAGGTTTTGCTTTCGTATTTATAGACAATTTCTTTTACAACAGAGATAATGATAATTNTGAGATGTCCAAAGAATGCTGAGGAGGTAAGCTGAGATATGGTGACATGGAACAGCCGAGTACGATAGCTGACATCGTATTTAATGCGATGTGATCCCATATTTATGGCGGAATGAGTGATAGTGACAAGGCGAACAAATGCGCGTCTGTCCTCTGGGAGTCTAAGCCTACTGTCATGATTGCTAAGTATTAATGGCTGATATGCCGAGACAACGTGATCAGCTCTCCCGAGGAACTGTTCCCGTCAAGTATTCAATGCTCAGTTGATGTCAGATGCCGATCTGGGGGATTTGGGTACTCGGGAAGTGGCATAAATGCTCGACAGATGGCCAAACATTTACCCCATTTTTCTAGCATTCAATAGGAGACGTGAATAGAAAACACTCATTGCACGAGAAATGGTGTGTCAGATGTGAGATGTCCAGATGAGATTGAAGATCTTTGGCAATTATTACTAATTCAGGTATAAATATTCCTTAGAAAAATGGACAAAGGTACGCAAACTCGAACCAGAAAAATAGTCCATTAAGCAAAACCCTTCAATTTTATACTGACTTAAGCTTCGGAGGGGATTAGCCGGGCACACGCCTGGGCCCTTTTTTTCTAACCCTGTTGTTCTAGGTTCACCAGTTGGGAGATCACTGCCTCACATGATTGCAGAAATTATCCCATGTAATTTGGCGCCGTTTGTGGGAACGAAAGTATTTTTTTAGATAGCGATCGTCTGATGGTGAACACTCGATCCCAGGGTGAAGGAGCAGGTGTACGGGCTAGGAACACAGAGCCCGTCCGACTTCCAATGGTTCTGAAGCCGGGTTCATTGGGCCAATCAGATGAGGTGGGACATTCTTCGCAAAGAACGCTCCCTATAGATTAGGGCCTTGGGGGCGTGACCTCATGGCCCATGACATCGTGAAGATGGTGAAAAAACGGATGGGCAAACGCATTAAGCAGCTCGAAAGGGAAAAAGCCAAAGTCCAGCAACGTCTTGACGATTTCGAGCAGTCAGCAAACGCGGGTGAGCATAGTCGATGGGTCGGGGACCAGTGGCCCAGCCAGAATCTGTCCAGACCCCCTTGGCTTAGCCCTCCACGAAGGATTGGGTTAGGCACTCGCCCGAGGGGCGTGACCACCGAGGAGGGTTCTCAACCTCCAAGGGAAAGTCGGAATCAGGCTAGAAGGCAAGCTTGTCCAGGTGGGACCTGCGCCGAAGGATACTCGAGGGCGTTGGAGCCGCCAAATCTCAAGCAGAGTCCATTCCCCGAAGGCCTCGAGGGGAGAGATCAACCAAGGATCCCCGAGTCCCCTTCATCACTCAACGCAATCATAAGCCCATGGTCTACTCCGACAAAGTTATCTCGTCGTTCGTCTGGGCTATCAGGGAGGTCGAGATGCCGAAGAAGTTTACCGTCTCATGGTTCAAAGTCTATGACGGAAAAATCGATCCCAAGATCCACCTTCGGCAATACAGACAATTGATGTCAATCTACGATACTGACCAAAGGGTGTTGTGCTAAGTTTTTCCCATGAGCCTAGGGGACACCGGCATGAGGTGGTATGAGCAGCTTGCTCCCGAGAGCGTTGGGTCCTGGAGACAATT